CTTTGACTTGTAATATTTTTAACTCTGCTGAGATAAGGGGGTTTCCATAACTGGAAATACAACACTGCAGTTCCAAAGACAGAAAAACAGTCCTGATTTCACCACTGGGCATGTTTTCTGCCATGAATACGAATCCAGAAACTCAGTCCTCCATAGATTACAGCAAAACAAAAACTCAGCACGAGCATGGTAATGGGAACAGGATAGAGAGTAGGTGGAGGAAATTCTAAGGAAATGAGCAAAATATGACAGGAAGTCTAAACAAATGGTCTCATCTTCCTTCCTTCATTCATTCATTCAGAAGAAGAAATAGATATTTTCTCCAGTACTACGGGAATCTCTTGCTTAGAGTGTAGAAGTGACTCTTATCAATTAAAAGATGACTCTACACCTGTCGCCATGCTTCCTGCCCTCCCTCTCTGCATGTCAGTGACCAAGTCACTTCATTTCTTTGCTAAACCTGTTCCCTGGCTGCCACTGGGCCACCCTCCCACAGGAGCTAGCAGAGGTGCCTGGGGAGGAGAGGCCTTAGCTCCCAGGGAACCAGGCCAGGTGCTACTCGGGGCAGAGAACCCACAGCATGAAAGGGAAGCTCACAGAGCAGGCCCGACCGCCCTCTCCTCTCAGCCCGTGGAACTGGATTTGAAGCAGGGTCATCTCAACTCCTGCCCAGGGCCCCAGGTAGAGGGACTCAGAAAACCCTGCCATCCTTTCTAAAACATCCATGGATACACCAGGCAAAAGGTGGGAATCATAAATCAAACATTCCACCTTCCTTAAAAAAGGAGTCCAAAATGCTGAGAAAGCAACTCCCTAATTTTCTTTTTCTTTCTTTTTTTTTTTTCTTAATGTCAGATTTCAAAGCGAAAAGGCCAGTCTACTAAAGGCAAAGAGGATGAGGAGACACAGCAGCCAAACTCAAATCTAACGAAGATGTAATGCTCAAGGAAAGTTCTGAAGCGATTGATTCTACCAGCTGTTTTATAATGCTGCTTCTGCCTGGTTTGAAACTTTTAACATTAATGTACAGGTAAAAACTTTTATAATAAATTGGTTTATTTTAGCAAGCAAACCTCTAGGTTGGCCAGCACACAGGCTCCTAGGTTTGCAGAAGGGTCTTCTGTAGATAGCCCTAACCACACAGAACGGGTGCAGCAGCTCAGCAGTTTGCTAAACATAGGTACCCATAGCCACAGCACCTGTGGAGTCCTCTAGCCTAAGGACTAAGAGGCCACAGGCAATGCAGGAGATACAGGGAGGCAAAAACAGCTTCAGAAAAGGAAGCTAAGGCCAAGAGGAGTAAGAGAGCAACAGCAAGTCCCCAGGTTCCTGTAGGAGGGGCAGACATGAAGGCGCTGGAAGGACACGGCAGTGGATCATGCCAAGCTGTTGAAGAGGGGATGGAGCTGTCTGGCTCCGGGGTCTAAAAATCCACGTTCCACAACATGTGAAACCCCAGTTAGGGATATTGAAACACCCTTCCTGCCCAGCTCCACCATATGGAGAGATGGAAGAGGCAAGTAGGTCCAGGCAAACAAGACGCACCAGCTGCCCCAAGCTCCCCAGTCATCTGCTTAGGGACCATCTGGAGTCAAGAATGTCTCACAGAATGTGGAACCCTGTAATTCTCACCATGTACTCACATCTCGCTAGATCAGTGACAAGGAGATTGGGGGCAGGAGCAGGGAGCAACACATTCTTAACAATTCAGAGGTGTGTGGGGTTTTCTCCTTTGGGATAACAGGAAACAGCAGAAGCAGACAGGGTGATCCTTCTAAAATGAAAAACTTTCCCCTCCAAAGTAAGCCATTCCTGAAACCCTACTGCTGGAGGAAGAACGCAGCAATCAAGCAGCGCGGGTCAAAGACCGTCAAAAGCATCCATTTGCAAACCTGCCTTAATGTTCTTACCAAAATACTGGACCCAAAGTGCATGTCCTCAATGTCTGTGCCTGCTCCAAGCCAGGCCAGCGAGTTTGAAACTCTGTGAGCCATTGGTTCTGCCACCAGACTTCACAGAGGGGCAAACTACCCCTTAAGAGGGACGACACCTTGCTGGTGGCATGGTCAGGACAAGAATCCAGGACTTGGGGCTCTGCAGGCTTCTCTCCTTTTGCTGGTTGGGACACGTTCTTCCAGCAGCAGCTCCAGATTTTCCACAAAAGGGGGTTGGGTGGCTGTGGGAAGGGGTTAGGACCTAGGTTGAAGCTATACTTCTGTGCTTTTTTACTGAGATCATATGTTCACATGGGGGTATTTTTAAAGGAGTTGGTAAAGATTATGGGAGGATGAAGTACCCTAAGCTAGAATGCCTTGTCTCTAATATAACAGGCTTTGAGAAATATTTGCTCAGCTGATTTCCAAGGAAGCAAGAACCTAAAGACTGATAGGGCCCTTCACGGCTTCCGTACTCAAAGGCAGCAGCCTCCTTCCCTGAGGAGAACCAGGTTAAGTCATCAAGGCAAAGGGCCATCTGGGCCTCAGGCCAGAGGATGAGGATGAAAACATACACGGACGCCACACCTGTCAGATGCACAGGCAACTTCAGTGAGTGAACTGAGCCCCTGACCACATTCAAAACCATGAAGATCTGTGATCAGCATCATATAATCAATTTCTGTTTGTTCCTGCAACACACAAGAAATGTCTAGAAGATGGTCACCACATTTGGAGGCTATATTCGCATGCTCTCACTTAAAATGTTGCTATGTGAGATAGAAAAATACTACTGGCAATGGGGGGGAAGACACCATTCAAAGAAATAGTCAGTGTCCTTCAGGGCAGCAGAAAGGGCTGTGGAGGCCCCAGGACCACATCAGAAGACTGATCAAGTGGGAAGGGACACAGGGCCCCACTCTATCTAGTTTACAGTCCTTTAAGACAAACTTGGGGTCACCTATTTGGTGGGTACCTCTGTTCAGCAGCCTACCCTGTCCTTATCCATCATCCCTGTGCCTAGGAGCTGGCCCTCCTCCATGAATGATCTCGTGGGGACAACAATGAGACAACTGACTCCACTTTGGTGCCAACCTCTGGCCCAGTCCAGGGGAATTTAAATTCCCTACTGCTATAAACCTACACAGCCACTGCAGGCAAAAACTTACCCTGGGCCACATTCCTATGTACCTCTGTTAAAATACAGGGTCTATCTGCCCCTCTGCCGTCTGAGCTGAGGCTGGTCAGAAGCATTTCAGAACATGCTCTCAGCTGGTTTTGCAAAGCTGAGATTCAATTCTCCTGAGCTGCTCCTGGAAGGACATGCAGGCACCACAGCACAGTACAGTCCCACTTGCTTTGAAATCACATTGAGTTTACAAATTAAGAAACAGCTCAGTCTGGCACCAGATAAGGAATGAGAATAAAAAATTAACTTGGCCATATTCTTCCTCGTCAGTGATACTGGGCTCTTCTATGACATGGGCTTTTTGATCATGAGTAGGCGTGTAGATATTCTTAGCTGGACACCAAGCTAAGGGAAAATGACAGTCACTCTCCAACATTTGTAAGTACTTAGAAGTTTACTTCCTCTCATATTTATTCGTGACTCTTCCAAAGGAGTGCTGCCTGCTTTTTCATCCCCCAAATCTGGGCGCAAACACTGCACACATGTCTTTATAAATACGCATATTTTCCCACTGAAAATGTTTCGGCTCTAGGAATATATTTTAAAACCTATATTTTCCCCTCCCCAGTTTACCACACCCTGTTTTTCCTGGCAAAGCCATCAGAATTTGAAGTCCAGTAGAGAATTTCCTTTTGATTCCATCAGAATAGAGCAACATTGGCATCATCCTTCAGTCATTTCACATTTCCCTCACATTAAAGTGGGTTTATGACCACGAACACTTTGTATTAATAAATGTCTCAGCACACCCAAGCCTGAAAATCTGATCTAAACCTCCTTAACTTGAATTCCATCCATAATCCACAACTTCTTCAGAAAAAAAACTCTTCCCAGCTTCTCTCCCCTCTAGCCTAAGAAACAGCCTTAACAGCGAGCAATTTCATTCTCATACTTTTTGCTCTGCTTGACTTTGCTCCTCATGGCAAAAGTTGAGTTTGAAAGGCCAAAGAGCCACAGTGCAAATTCTAATGGCACCAAACAAGCTTCGGTTAAACACATTTCTAAGAAAAAGAAGACCAAGTTTCTGAACCCCACAGAAGATTCAGGCCTTTGTGTCTAAGTGTGGGTCATCCCTGAGCTTTTTCTGGAACAGATTCGGCGTTTCTACTGCCCCTCCAGCAGTCTGGACAGTGCCTAGATCTGAGACCTAAACATGCCCTGTTATGTGGCCAAGACTTACTGGAGCTCATTTAAGCTTATCATCCCTTAGTTTTTTGGTGGAAAACAGGGTCACCATGCTCACCCCTAAAACATACCCTGGACGTCGTGCTCACTTGGAAAACATCTTAGGGTGATGGATGGGTTTCCCTCCTTATCATGGAAGACACCTTTTCTTTCCTGTTGCCTGGCTTGGCAATTTTACTTTCCCCATACATCTCATCACAAGTACTCATGTTAATATATATCATATGCTGAGTGCCTTCACGGGCAGGCACGGGATGGGCGTTATTATCCCTGTTTTACACAGTGGAAACTGAGGCTCTAAGAAGTTAATTCACCCACCGCCATACAGGTAGTAAGTAGCAGAGCTGGATTAAAACCCAGGTTTGTCTGGTTTAAAACTGCTTGTTGTTTCCACTTTGGTCAGCCTCGCTTACGACAGCTCCGGGAGAAGTCTCTGGAGTCCGTGCGAGCCGGCGGATCAGGTTTAGATGGAGGTTCTTTAACGACCCCACCTCTCGGCGATCTCTTAACCAACTCCCCCAGCGGAACTCCCATTCCCCGACCTTCGGCTCTGGGGCTCCCCTCCCACCCACTGCCATTCCTGCCTCTTCCTTTCCAGCCCCTAGCAGCTGGGGCGGCCTCACGCCGGCATGTGCCCCCCCGGGCCGGGGCGCCAGGCGGGGAAGAGGGTCCGCGGCCAGGCCCGCACCTACCTCGTCCCCGAAGCGCACCACCTTCTGGCCCGTGGGCCCGCGCAGGCCGGGGAAGCGCGTGAGCTCCTCCGAGTCCCCGGGGTCTCGGGGCGCCGGAGCGCGCGGCCCCACCAGGCACCGGTCGATGATCTCGTCCTGCTGCGCGGGCGGCAGCCGCGCCCACTCGGGCCCGTACTTCTCGCGGATCTTCTCCTTGTCCTGCATGATCTTCCTGGCCATGGGGCTCAGCGACGAGAAGTAAGTGAAGCGCTTTCGCTCCCGGTCGTCAAGAGGCCGGTTCCCGCTCATGACCGCCGAGCGCGAGGCCGCGATAGCCGCCGCCATGGACGCCATGCCCGGCCCGCCTGCCGCTCCCGGCCCGCGCCCCGCCCCGCGCTGTGCCCGCCCCCGCCCCGCCCCGCGCCGCCCAGAGCCCCGCCCCCTCCGGGAACCCCGCCCTGCACAGCCGCGGACCCGGGTCTCCCAGCCAACCCATCTCCCCAAGACCCGGGACCCCGGCCCTCCGCGGCCCCCTCCCCGGGAGCTCCTCCCTCCGCTCCCCTCCCCCTGCCCCCCCTCGCGGACCCCAATGGGTCCCCCTTTACGCCTCCATAGTGGATTCCCGCGGTGCCAGCAGGTTTCGGGTTCCCCTTAGCCGGCTGAGGTGGTGGCCGGCGTGTCCCCGAGCCGGCGCTTGGCGCCCTGAGAGTGTGGCCGTGGTTAATTCCCGGTAGTGACCGCCATAGCGCCACGTGGCCACTGCTTGACAAAGGAAACTTTTTTCAACCTCCAGTGAGCCTAAGAAAGCCCCAGCATTTCGGGCCGAGCCGCTGGCTGCCTGGCTTCTGTTTTTACTCCTTTCCTTCTGTCGCTTTCCCGGACGAGCCACACCTTCTCTGCTTTCTCTGGGCCAGTCCGGGACGCTGGGCCCGGGGCCTGGCGCGGTGAGCTGCAGATAGCCGGGGCCGCAGGACAGCCCGGAGGCGGGAGGGAGACGTGGAAGGCTAGACCCGTGCGGGGCGTCTGGTTCTGGCTTCCCCTCAGGGCCGGGAGTGTGCATGAAGTAGCCGGTAGCCCAGGTGCCTTTCCCCACCCCAAGGAGCTCAGAACTCTTGGCAGTTCGATGTTCGCAAACAAACCCAAGAGGAGCAGAAAGTTTTCAGACTCAGAGGCGACATCCCAACAGTAGGGGGCCGGGGTTTGTAATTTTGAGGTGTGTCCCAGACCACAAAATTAAAATTATAGAGAGCCCCTACTTCCCCCAGCCCCCTCTCTCTGTCTGACTTATTTTAACAAGACTAACAGGACTCAGATGAGAATTGTGTCCACTCGTAAAATAAAAAAAATAAAAAAACAGCATTTCAGCTGTTACTTAGAGTCTTTGCTTGGATAATTCTGAACACAGAGTAGAAATAACTTGCAAAGTCCTATTTTAAATGTGAGATGGCCTCATCTTCCGGCCCAGAAATCCTCAGAATATTTTTGGAATGTCATGAATGTGGCAGGCTCTACAGTTAAAGACATTATTATCAACAGTGCTCACAACATAATATATTGAAGCAGGGAAAGGCAAGAACCACCAAATATAGCCTCCACAGTAAGTGGCGGGTTGTTTATGAGACGGGAAGTTTAAGGACAGTTTTTTGGGGTATGAACTTCTGTTTAAGTTGATGCTACAGAGGCTCAGTACACTGACCTGAACCCCACTGATTTCTCTCCTCTAATCCTTGTTTAATAATGTAGGTAATATTTAAAGATGTATTCTTGAAATTTAATTAACATCCCCAGGCTTGCTTTGATATTCACATGAGAAGCTGCCTGTACCCTTAGAAACTTAGTCTCATGATGTTTTCAAAGCAGTTGTAGAAATAATTGTTGCTTTCAAAAAGAAAAAGCACAACCCCATGAGGTGTTCTGGGTCTGGCAATAATTGATTGTCAAAGAAGTTTTCAAGATAACAAAAGCGTGAGATAATTCAGGGACATTGGCCAAAGTATGTAAAGTCTGTGATCTGAATGATAAGGGGGTAACTAAAAGAAAAATTCTTCCAGATTATAAGAAGAAACCCAGGGGAATTAAAATATGGCTCTAACAGATGACTTGGCTGAAATTAGAAACATTTTTTTTTACATATATCTTTATCTACTCCTGGAGGGAATAAAAATAGCCAAACTCCGGCCAGGCACGGTGGCTCACGCCTGTAATCCCAGCAGTTTGGGAGGCCGAGGTGGGCGGATCACGAGGTCAGGAGATTGAGACCATCCTGCCTAACATGGTGAAACCCCATCTCTACTAAAAATACAAAAATTAGCTGGGCGTGGTGGCATGTGCCTGTAATCCCAGCTACTGGGGAGGCTGAGGCAGGAGAATTGCTTGAACCGGGAAGTCGGAGGTTGCAGTGAGCCAAGATCGCACCACCACACTCTAGCCTGGCGACAGAGGGAGACTTGGTCTCAAAAAAACAAAAACAAAAAAACCCAAATTCCAAATATGTAATTAAGTGAGAGGATCTGAATGTTTACGTCCCCCAAAATTCATATGTTCAAATCCTAACTGGTAAGATGATGTGGAGCCTTTGGGGAGATGTTTAGGTCAGGAGGGCAGAGCCCTCATGAATGGGACTGGTTCCCCTATAAGAGACTCAAGGGAGCTCACTTGCCCCATCCACCGTGTGACCAGACAGCAAGAAGGTGCCATCAGAAAGCACAACCTATGAGCCAGGAAGCAGAGCCAGACCCCAAGTCTGCGGATGCCTTGATCTCAGACTTCCCAGCTTCCAGGTCTGTGAGAAATAAATTCCTATTAATGATAAGCCACTCCGTTTGTAGTATTTTGTTATAGTGGCCCGAATAGGCCAAGACTTCAAGTAAAATAGTGCGGGATTGCTGTAGTACTAAGAGCCTGTCTCAGTCCCTTTGGGACATGGTATCATAGACTGGGCGACTTCAGCAACAAATATGTATTTCTTACAGTTCTGGAGGCTGGAGGTCTGACATTAGCATGCTAGCGTGATCACATTCTGGTAAGAGCCCTCTTCTGGGTTTCAGACTGCCAGCTTCTTGTTATATCCTCACATGGTGGGAAAAGGGATACAGCAAGCTCTCTCATGACTCCTGTAGGGCACAAATCCCTTTCCTAAAGACTCCATTCTCATAACCTCATCTAGTCCTAATTACTTTCTTCAGGCCTCACCTCCTAATACCATCACATTGGTATTAGGTAGGGTTTCAACATCAGAATTTTGAGGGCACACAAGCATTTAGTCTGTAACATCTTCTTAGGTAAGAATTTGGATGGAGGCCGCCTAAATTATCTTTCTTTGTGAATGTGGTTTGGCCAGTAGACTCTCTCTGTTCACAAAATGAAGAGGCTAACACGTGGTCCCTGACCCATGGAAATGCTTTCAAACCTTGCAGTGGTCCAAAGAGCATTCCTTTAATCATTAGCATTTTACTGAGGCATTTGCTACTTCATGTTAAGCAGTATGGGGGGAGATGAAAAGGGTGTGGGAACAGCGTTAGTTCAGTGATCAGGGTCCCACACAAGATCGGCTTTCCAGGGCTTTGAGCACACTCTACCAGGTCTGTGTAAGCAGCCTCAGGTTTTCATAAGTGCTCTGGTTTCATATTTGTCTCCTCCAAAACTCATGTTGAAATTAAATCCTCAGTGCGGCAGTATTGAGAGGTGGAGCCCGTAACAACTGATTGGGTTATGAAGGCTCTGCTCTCATGAATGGATTAATCCATTCATGGACCAATACTGGGTTAATGGATTAATGGGTTATGGAAGTGGGACTGGTTGCTTTTTTGTATTTTTGTTTTTTGTGTTTTTTGGGGGAGGGGTTGTTTTGTTTTGTTTTGTTTTTTTGAGACAGAGTCTCGCTCTGTCGCCCAGGCTGGAGTGCAGTGGCGCGATCTCGGCTCACTGCAACCTCCACCTCCTGTGTTCAAGCGATTCTCCTGCTTCAGCCTCTCGAATAGCTGGGGCTGCCACCATGCCCAGCTAATTTTTTGTATTTTTAGTAGAGACAGAGTTTCACCGTGTTAGCCAGGATGGTCTCGATCTCCTGACCTCGTGATGCACCCGCCTTGGGCTCCCAAAGTGTTGGGATTACAGGCATGAGGCACTGCGCCCAGCCAACTTGTGGTTTTATAAGAAGAGCAGAAAAATATGAACAATCATGCTCAGCCCTTCACCATGGGATGCCCTGCACCATCTGGGGACTCTGCAGAGAGTCCCCACCAGCAAGAAAGACCTCTCCAGATGCAGCCACTCAAACTTGGACTTGTCAGCCTCCATAATTGTAAGAAATAAATTCCTTTTCTTTTTCTTTTTGTATAAATTCTGGGGGTACAAGTGCAGTTTTGTTACATGGATATATCGCCTAGTGATGACCATTCCCTGAAAAATGTACATGGCACCCATTAAGGAATTTCTCATCACTTACCCCCTCCCACCTTTTTTTTTTCTTTATAAATTATCTAGTTTCAAGTGTACTGTTTTAACCAGAAAATGGACTGAGACAACATGGTATTCGTTCCTGGAATGCTTTTCTTAGCAATTAGGGAGGCCAGATACAGTGGCTCACGCTTGTAATACCAGCACTTTGGGAGGCCAAAGCATGTGGATCACTTGAATCCAGGAGTTTGAGATCAGTCTGGGAAGCATGATGAAACCCCGTCTCTACAAAAAATATAAAAATTAGCCAGGTGTGGTAGCATGCACCCGTAGTTCCAGCTACTTGGGAGGCTGAAGTGGGAGGATCACTTGAACCCTGGGCGGTCAAGGCTGCTGTGAGCCAAAAATCACACCACTGCACTCCAGCCTGAGTGACAGAGCTGTCCCCACCGCCTCCCCCACTCAAAAAAAAAAAGAAAAAAAATTAGGGAGACATAGCAACAAGTGCTTTAACTGAGTCAAACTGTCTCTGGTGTCCTGAGCTGTGGAGTTCTTCCTTGTGTAGTGCCATTTCAGTCATTTTCCTCAGAAATGTTCTTGAGTGACCACTAGAAATCAAACTTTACAATAAGGAGAACCTTATCTGTCTTGTTTACTGTTGTAAACAATAATGCCTTATTCATAGTGAAGGAATTATGAATTATGAAGGAATGAATAAGTATTCCATAATTGGCATCATTAATTCCCTCTCTACAGAAAACTGAGGCGTCAACAGAAGAGACCCACCTAAGCTTGTCCGCGACCACCCGCTCACCTCATGGTTTGGGGCGGAATTGAGATCACAGAACAGGGGTTCCTTTGTCTTTTGTTAAATCCGTAACATTGGATTGATGTGTCTAAGGTTAACCATTGGATATAATAATAATGATATTAAAAACTGACCCTAACGGCACGATGTATTAAAGTTTCCAAGTCACTCATTTGGAAGTCAAGTCAAACATAGCACTAATTTTTCAGTGTAACAATCGAATACCCAAAGTGATGGCCAACATTCCCATTACACGTCTGACATCTTGGCTCACAGTCATGGCCCTGGAACTCCTCTCCCTAGAACAGTCCCATGTAAAAAATCTATTAATCCCAGAGCTTTGAGAGGCCAAGGCAGGAGTATGGCTTGAGGCCAAGAGTTTGAGACCTGCCGGGACAACATAGTGAGACCCCATCTCTACAAAAATAAAATAAAATAATTAGCCAGGTATGGTGGCACACACCTGTACTCCTAGCTACTTGGGAGACTGAGGCAGGAAGATTGCCTGAGCCCATGAGTTTGAGGCTACAGTGAGCTATGATCATGTCATTGCACTCTAGCCTGGGTGACAAAGCAAGACCCTGTCTCTAAAAAACAAAAAAAATTTATTGAGAGAGAGAGACAGCAAGGCCGGCTGGTCTCGAGGAAGAGAAATAAACCTCTACAAGAAAACTGCCACACCCTGTTTGAGCCCAACCTGTTCACCCTCAAAGACAGAATGACGGCCTCCCCCTTCTGTCTGCACTCCTGGCTGTTCACAGAGCACAACAACAGGGAAATGCTGTCTGTTCTACTCATGTGTTTCTGGTGTCTTCCAGTAGAAATTCACTTTATCATTTAAAATAATTACTTATATATTTGTTTTTTTGGCATTTGCTTACCATATTCTCATGTTTTATCTTATCTCCCTGCTTAGAAAAGTGAAATTGACATTATTGAGGATCTCCTCTGCAACAGGCACCGTGAAATCACATTAGTCGGATGTCGTCCATTAGTCAGACATTTTTCTATTAGATGTTTTGTCTATGTTTTAATGAGAACCTGCTATCAAAGAACTAACTTCTGTTTTCTTTCCCAGCTTGGCTTAAAGGAGTACTTTAGGACTAAGAACAGCAGAATGAAAACAGCAGCTAAAGTAGAACACACTGGCAGAGACGTTCATATCCTCGAGCTGTGCTTCCGAAGCTCAAGCA